TTTAGATTTAGACAGTATTTTTGTAACATTTAATAACTTGATTTTGTTTCTACCATCCTGTGGAACAGGATCAACTGTACCAAGATATACTTACTATCCCACAAACAGGACTCAACCTTAAGACCAAGATTTATGTTGCAGTTAAGGCTACTAATCTGACAGACAGGTATTTAAGTTTTATCAAGTTACAGTAAACAAAGTTACAATATAAAGAATAGACACTAAAAATTCACCTGTCTGTCCTAAAAGGTTCAACGTGCTGCTTGACAGATGCTACGCAACCACAACTCCAAATCCCATGTCTGACTACTATTATGACCTTTTTATAGGGTGAGTCACACATGTACATAACTTCCAACTTACACTCAGCTTCATTCTACTTCCACATGTGCAGTCACGCTTCCCATCTCTTTTTCACCCAAGGTGTGCAAGGGACGGACAAACTAAGGTGGAGCTCAACGGGATGTCTCAGAAGGCACACTTCTCCTTTGAGGCCTTCAGATTTGTGGAGCACAAAAATCAGACGATTTCCACATTCTACCTGCACTGTGTTACCAGACTCTGTGAAGTGTCCTTGTGTAGTGGAATAATGCCTGTGAGTAGATATTTTAAGATATCACAAATAGGAACTGTAATTAATCCATACATCAGTCTACATCAGTCTTGATTGTTAATTTTATCAATCTTGAACAGAACTGTGGAAGTTCCCCAAGCAGGAGAAAGAGAGAAGCTGAGGATGTGTTGGCCAACGCTACAGTCTCCTCGACTGCCATTCTTGTGGGAAAACAGAGCATTGGTGAGCCTTTAGGGCAAATTGTAACAAACACAGATATTCCTACATCTAATCACAATGACATTTTATATGGTGAATAGATACAAATGCTAAATAAACAGTATTACCTTAAAATGTGCAAATTAAACCAGATGAATAACTTAATATATGTCAATGGATTTGTCTGGAGGACACTTGAAATTATAAAATGGCCATCTGTCCTTGTGGTGTCTTCTATTAAAGAAATAGTTTGAGATTTTAGGAAATGCAATTATTTACTTTGTTGAGTGGAGATGAGAAGATTGAAACCACTCTCGTGTATGTGCTACAAACGAAGCTACAGCCAGCAGTCAATTACATTAAGAACCTTAAATTGTAATGTTATTTTTACACTTTTGTTTGTATTAAACAATGGCTAATGTGTTTATTATTGAGCTTTATAGGTGCTAATAGGTAGATTTTTTTCACCAGAGCCAGGCCAACTGTTTCCCCATGTATCCAGTATCTATGCTAAGCTAAGTTGAAAGACTACTGACAGTAGCTTTATCAATCTAATCTAATTCTCAGCAAGAAAGCGAATAAGCACATTTCCTAAAATGTCAAACTGTTCATTTAATCAGTTATTTTTTACCAATAATGACACAAAATGTGAATCCTAAATTACTGACCATAGTTTTGGCTCCATTTTTCAGGAGACCCTCAAACTTTATCGGCTGCTCATGGTAAGAATCAGCAAATTTGTCTGTGATGGACTACTTTCTTGGTCATTACTGTTCAGTTAGTAATCATCAATATTGATTAATATACCCATGAAGTATAATATGATATCTTTGTGCTTTTCTTTTTCCCCTGCTCACAAAGCTATGTCACCTGAGGGCAACTACAGCAGCCCTGTGGTGGCTGTAATTGTCTGCCTCGTCATCCTAGCTATTCTCCTCGTCGCCATGGCTGTTTACTTTGCTTTGTACATCAGACGGAGAAAACCAATGATTCAGTAACATCACCTGACTGAGAGTGGAGTCACTTGACGCATCTCCCAAACTGCCAGTTTAATACTTCATCATCTACAAAGCATGACCGTGATGCTGTTGAGACAGTAAAACAAGTCATGAGAAACAATAATCAGATATATCATACTGTCATAGTACTATTTAGCCTTTCCATTTCACAAACAGCAGTATAACAAGCTGGTCAGCAGTAATCTTTGCAACTTTATAATCATTGTGAATCACATAGTTAATTAATGTGGAGATAAGGGCACAAAATCTGTACAAAAATTGTGTATTATAATTAAGTGTTAGTTTTAATCATGTTGTCAGAGTCATATTGAAGTATTTAATGAATGGTCTCATTATTTGTAATCAGTTAGAAATTGTGTACTTTTAAGGACTTTTCACACTGCACTTAGCAAAGATAAAAGTATTCTTAGAACCTTCTTAGCTCCAGGCTAAGAAAGCTTTCACAAATGTCTTCAGTGACAATGATGAAGGAAGCACTCGTGCTTTATTCTTTAACAAAACACACCATTAAACTAAACATTAAAACGTTGACTGTCTCTTATTGTATGCATGAACACACTGAATCGGAGAAAGCTATAGGTCGGTTGAGTGATGAAAAAACCGACTGATGTAACACAAGTTAGAGTACTGATTGTGTACTGATCTAAACAACAGTTTTTGACTGTACTCCCTTACAGTGAATTACATTAAAATATAAAATCAACATGCAGATAAAAACTTTAATATTGTATAGACATGACTATGTTTGATGCCAAAGCTCTAGGTTATCTGTATGTCATTTACTCTTTTGGTAATTTGATTAATTACAAATTTGTTTGGTAACAATTTCTATTGAAATGGTAAAGGCCCAAAGGTGGCTCCTGCATTTTCACCCAATTTTGACTCACCGTCTCGTGGAGAGGTCTTACTTCAAAATCTCTGAAAAAGTTTTAAGAATTTTAATATTGATCGTAAAGGTCAATTTGTGAGGCTCTATTGGCAGAAATGGAATATAACATTAATGTTTTCATTAGTGTATAATGGCCTGAAAATATGAAATCATTGTATTTTTATTACCTTAGAATGAGCTGGCAAATATCCAATATTCACTCTCTTCAGGTTTTGTTTTTGGTCTCCACCAACTCCTGAGGGAAATATCTGATTCTTTAGCTGCTAAATGCTCCACTATATTCACCAGCAGCTTGTTGCTAACTGTTTAGTGCTCAGCAGGTATTGTACAGTGGGTTTTTAGAGTTTTTTCACTGAAACAGCAGCCTACTCCGGCCAAAAACACTATGAAATCAGCACGAATAACCGTCCTAAACAGTAAACTTGTGGGCTTGACAGCTAAACAAGAGCTAAAACCCACTATAAAGCTCTTTAATAACAAAGGGAGGTGCCAACTTGGACAATAACTTTCTGTAGGTTTATCACCACAGACCACCCATTTCATCCTTTTACATTGTCACATTGTTTCCTCGTTGTCATTTAATATCCTTAACATCCTCCCTCCCGAAACTACAGTGGCTACAATACCAAAAACATACAATAACTCATTTTTCAGGTGATTATAAACTAATTAATAAACTGGCGCTGTGTGATGAGTGACTCATTTCTGAGTATAAAATCATTCACCATCAAATACAGTCAAGCAAGATTGGCTGTGGATAAAACTTTCAACCTGCTGGTGGCACAACAAAAAAGTCAGGAGATCACAATTTCTGTTTTGAGCAAATCCATCAAGAAGATGTTAAGATATTTCACTAGATAATTCAAAACTTTGACCTGCTGGTGGCGCAAGATGAGAAGTCAGAGGATCAACAAAGTTATTCAAATTCAGCCTTTGGGGGACTTTATTGGCACCACATTTGATGGCAAGCCAATGGTTGTTAAGAGATTTCACACAGAATTAACTTGTTGTTGACACTACAGGAAAAAACAGGAAATTACCAAAGTCAGTAGGCTTCATGCATCTTGGTCTGTGGTCTAATGTGCATCTGTTATGGGGGCCCTTCACATGAAACATTTTGGGAACCCCTGTTGTATCCTATCCTAATCAGCATCTCACAGCTGTAGGCCATCATTCAGTGATATCACACAAAAAAATCTCCACAATGAAAAAAGAAGTAAAACACCATAAAGGTAATCATAAAATGTAGAACTAGGGATAATCTGAATGTTCATTCAGCAAATCAAACCAACAAATTGCATGTTAACAGAACTGCAGAGAAACATATGATGCTGTACCCTCAAACTTTATCGGCTGCTCATGGTAAGAATCAGCAAATTTGTCTGTGATGGACTACTTTCTTGGTCATTACTGTTCAGTTAGTAATCATCAATATTGATTAATATACCCATGAAGTATAATATGATATCTTTGTGCTTTTCTTTTTCCCCTGCTCACAAAGCTATGTCCCTGAAGGACACACCCTGGGGGTATTCCCCCCCCTTTAGAAAAAAAAAAAAAAACAAAGGGGGAAAAAAAAAAAAAAAAAAAAAAAAAAAAAAAAAAAAAAAAAAAAAAAAAAAAAAAAAAAAAAATAATAAAAATAATAAAAAAAAGAAAAAAAAAAATATATATTAAATAAAAATAAAAAAAAGAAGGAAGCACTTGTGCTTTATTCTTTAACAAAACACACCATTAAACTAAACATTAAAACGTTGACTGTCTCTTATTGTATGCATGAACACACTGAATCGGAGAAAGCTATAGGTTGGTTGAGTGATGAAAAAACTGACTGATGTAACACAAGTTAGAGTACTGATTGTGTACTGATCTAAACAACAGTTTTTTTTGACTGTACTCCCTTACAGTGAATTACATTAAAATATGAAATAAACATGCAGATAAAAACCTTAATATTGTATAGACATGACTATGTTTGATGCCAAAGCTCTAGGTTATCTGTATGTCATTTACTCTTTTGGTAATTTGATTAATTACAAATTTGTTTGGTAACAATTTCTATTGAAATGGTAAAGGCCCAAAGGTGGCTCCTGCATTTTCACCCAATTTTGACTCCCCGTCTCGTGGAGAGGTCTTACGTCAAAATCTCTGAAAAAGTTTTAAGAATTTTAATATTGATCGTAAAGGTCCATTTGTGAGGCTCTATTGGCAGAAATGGAATATAACATTAATGTTTTCATTAGTGTATAATGGCCTGAAAATATGAAATCATTGTATTTGTATTACCTTAGAATAAGCTGGCAAATATCCAATATTCACTCTCTTCAGGTTTTGTTTTTGGTCTCCACCAACTCCTGAGGGAAATATCTGATTCTTTAGCTGCTAAATTCTCCACTATATTCACCAGCAGCTTGTTGCTAACTGTTTAGTGCTCAGCAGGTATTGTACAGTGGGTTTTTAGAGTTTTTTCACTGAAACAGCAGCCTACTCCGGCCAAAAACACTATGAAATCAGCACAAATAACCGTCCTAAACAGTAAACTTGTGGGCTTGACAGCTAAACAATGAGCTAAAACTCACTATAAAGCTCTTTAATAACAAAGGGAGGTGCCAACTTGGACAATAACTTTCTGTAGGTTTATCACCACAGACCACCCATTTCATCCTTTTACATTGTCACATTGTTTCCTCGTTGTCATTTAATATCCTTAACATCCTCCCTCCCGAAACTACAGTGGCTACAATACCAAAAACACACAATAACTCATTTTTCAGGTGATTATAAACTAATTAATAAACTGGCGCTGTGTGATAAGTGACTCATTTCTGAGTATAAAATCACTCACCATCAAATACAGTCAAGCAAGATTGGCTGTGGATAAAACTTTCAACCTGCTGGTGGCACAACAAAAAAGTCAGGAGATCACAATTTCTGTTTTGAGCAAATCCATCAAGAAGATGTTAAGATATTTCACTAGATAATTCAAAGCTTTGACCTGCTGGTGGCGCAAGATGAGAAGTCAGAGGATCAACAAAGTCATTCAAATTCAGCCTTTGGGGGACTTTATTGGCACCACATTTGATGGCAAGCCAATGGTTGTTAAGAAATTTCACACAGAATTAACTTGTTGGTGACACTACAGGAAAAAACAGGAAATTACCAAAGTCAGTAGGCTTCATGCATCCTGGTCTGTGGTCTAATGTGCATCTGTTATGGGGGCCCTTCACATGAAACATTTTGGGAACCCCTGTTGTATCCTATCCTAATCAGCATCTCACAGCTGTAGGCCATCATTCAGTGATATCACACAAAAAATCTCCACAATGAAAAAAGAAGTAAAACACCATAAAGGTAATCATAAAATGTAAAACTAGGGATAATCTGAATGTTCATTCAGCAAATCAAACCAACAAATTGCATGTTAACAGAACTACAGAGAAACATATGATGCTGAATAAATAGCCTACAGTATATTGTAAAGGAGTATATTGTATAACTGTAAGCTGCTGCACAGGACTAAACTTCTAGAGAAAAAACAAGCATCACAGCAGGTTCATGGCTTTACAAATGATTCTACTCTGCTATGGGGCATTTTCACCTAGTCAGTATACCAATGTATTTGGATTAATTAATATAATAGTTTGTATTAGTAAAACATTATCAGCGGAGATACCGATCGTTGAGGTCAAATCGGGACTTCCCTAGGTTGGATCAAAAACTCCTGAGCTGCTGTGGATTTTCCATCCCATATTCAAATAGCTGATTTATGTTCTCACGAACATCAACAAAGTATCAATGGGTGTGTACTTTTTCCAGCATTGATCTTCCTACAGGGACATAACACATATAAAATAACCTTTTTTTTTGTTGAGGAAGTCCTGCATTTTATGCCCCCTGGCTCATGTTACTCTTTTGTCTGACAAGTTTCATCTTACACATCTTTGTTATTTGGTGGCCACTATAAATGGAGAGGTATTGAAACAAACAGGCAGACACAAAATGAAGACTTACAGGTGAGTGCCTAGAATAGCTTAACCATCTTTCCCCATGTAGAATACATATGAAATGATATACCTGAATGAAGGTACTAATATTCACTATTGCAACAATGGAAACAAATACTGTTTCTATCCTTGGGAGCCAATGTTACTTCTACCTGTATCTTTCTTAATTAAATGTATCTGGTACAAAATTTGTAGGAAATAAAGTAAAACTCAGTTTGCTATTAATTATCTCTGGAAAGATTTTGTTGAAGATGCAACTGAATTCAGTGATAGTTGTAATTTCATGTAAAATGAAAAAATGTCACACGATCATGCATAAATCATGACCAGCCAGAAATGGGCCTTTTGGGTTTTGATATGGATTTTTTTTATTCCAGAGTAGTTCCTGCTGAAAAAAAGAAAATGAATATTTTGATCCCAGTTTTTTTACTGTACTCCCTTACAGTGAATTACATTTAAATATGAAATAAACATGCAGATAAAAACCTTAATATTGTATAGACATGACTATGTTTGATGCCAAAGCTCTGGGTTATCTGTATGTCATTTACTCTTTTGGTAATTTGATTAATTACAAATTTGTTTGGTAACAATTTCTATTGAAATGGTAAAGGCCCAAAGGTGGCTCCTGCATTTTCACCCAATTTTGAATCCCCGTCTCGTGGAGAGGTCTTACGTCAAAATCTCTGAAAAGTTTTAAGAATTTTAATATTGATCGTAAGGTCCATTTGTGAGGCTCTATTGGCAGAAATGGAATATAACATTAATGTTTTCATTAGTGTATAATGGCCTGAAAATATGAAATCATTGTATTTGTATTACCTTAGAATAAGCTGGCAAATATCCAATATTCACTCTCTTCAGGTTTTGTTTTTGGTCTCCACCAACTCCTGAGGAAATATCTGATTCTTTAGCTGCTAAATTCTCCACTATATTCACCAGCAGCTTGTTGCTAACTGTTTAGTGCTCAGCAGGTATTGTACAGTGGGTTTTTAGAGTTTTTTCACTGAAACAGCAGCCTACTCCGGCCAAAAACACTATGAAATCAGCATGAATAACCGTCCTAAACAGTAAACTTGTGGGCTTGACAGCTAAACAATGAGCTAAAACTCACTATAAAGCTCTTTAATAACAAGGGAGGTGCCAACTTGGACAATAACTTTCTGTAGGTTTATCACCACAGACCACCCCATTGTTTTGTTGTTTTCTCACAGGTGCAACCTCAGACCAGTGAGACTGGTAACCCTTGTGTGCCTAATGTTGAGGACTGAGGCCCAGATACCAGAGCTCTGCCTTCTTAGTGACACAAACAGACCCCCAGGTTTTGTGGCATTTTCTTTCATATGTTCTTTAGTTACTGTAGTTTTCACACTTCCATTTCTGTTGATTTAAATCCTCCCTTGTTTTTTATCCCTCCCAGAAAACTCTGACATAAATGTGGTCTGCGGCACTGAGCACATGGACCTGAGCATCTACCTTTGCCCAGTGTACCAAGCTCTTTACAATGAGTCTCTCATGGTCCTCAATGGAGAGTACAACAAACCTGAGTGTTTCGGGGCAGCTGACTGGAACACTGACCCACCAATCCTAAAATTCAGATTCCCCATAAATGAAAGTTCCATCGCATCCTGCAATAATAACTTTAAGGTACTCTTCACAATAGCTTCACCTACTATTTTAAAAGTATATATCAATTTAGATGCTTTTTCCTCTCATATATATTAGAAGAACAATTAAGAAGATTTCCCAGTACATAAGAATATAAGAAAAGTACAGAATATATCATAGTAAAAGTTTTCTTTTCGTACATTTTTACAGAATGTAATAACATATGAATAACAAGGATTGGATCCATCAAAGAATACATCTGAAAACTGATCTCAGTGCAATATATGTTTGTTTTTCTAATAGATAATCGATCGGATCGGAAGCGGAGTGTTTTCTGACTTCTCAAATGTCCAGTACGTCAACATCTCTGGGACTGTTACCTCTGTAGACCCCTCTACAGGTATGATCACCTATCGTCCGCAGATCCTGTACAAGTTCTCCTGCCTCTACCCAATGCAGTATCTCCTGAACAACACTCAACTGGCTGTGTGAGTATATCAAGTGCCACCCCAAATGACACCTACACTGCTTGTGAAATAAGCAGCATAATTCATTCAACCTTTTGATAAATACATGTATATGAATTTCTTTTCATTTAATACAGATCCGGAGTGAATCTTGCAATAAGAGACAACAATGGTAGTTTCATCAGCACACTGAGTATGCAGCTCTACAAGGTAAGACCTACTTTATAGCTTTTAGATTCAAACACAAAGTATTTTTTTGCTATTTTTAACTTGTTGTTTCTTCTGTGGAACAGGACGAAGGGTACCAAGAGTTACTTACTATCCCACAAACAGGACTCAACCTGAAGACCAAGGTTTATGTTGCAGTTGAAGCTACAAATCTAACAGACAGGTATTGAAAACAATAGTTGGACATTTTGTGAAATTTACTGATTTGTTTAATTGCTGAGTGTCAGATGAGAAGATCAATACCAATCTCGCTACAGCAAGGAGGCTGTAAGCTTAGCTTAGCATGAAGACCAGAAACAGGTGGAAACAGCTAGCCTGGCTCTGTCCAATGGTAACAAAATCCACCCAGTGACACCTCTGAAGTTCATTGATTAACATGTTTGGGTATATCTTGTTTCTTTAATCCGTACAAAGTCTAAAAATACAACATCTTTTCAAATCATCATAAATGTATTTCTCAAATGTTTGAACTATTCCATTAAAGTGCCGACAGTACTGCAGTTTTACATAGTTAAATTTCTGAAAAATAACACTTAAAATCGACCTGTCTGTCCTCGCAGGTTCAATGTGCTGCTGGACAGATGTTACGCTACAACAAGTCCATATCCTGTGCAGAGCACCTATTATGACCTTATTATGGGGTGAGTTGCATATATGTAACTACAGTATACCTTCCACCTACTCTGAAACTTAAATCTTTTTTTCCCCACCTTAGGTGTACTCGTGGTGCACAAACAAAGGTGGAGCTCAACGGGGTGTCTCAGAAGGCAACATTCTCCTTTGAGGCCTTCAGATTTGTGGAGCACAAAAATCAGACGGTTTCCACATTCTACCTGCACTGTGCCACCAGACTCTGTGAAGTGTCCTCGTGTAGCGAATTAATACCTGTAATACTCTCTACATTATGCTTTATCACCAACATGTGTGTCTTATTATCTTTATTCTTTTGCTCAGTTTTGTGGGCATTTTATATACTGATACTCAGTTGGTTTTTCAAAACACTTTTAGGCACATGATGTAATTTCACATCTTTTTGACATCATATGGACTATTAAGCAATAACTATGATGAGCAAATCACAACAGTGTCAAGGCCAAAAAAGATTCCTGATGCTTTCCTTTGTGAGTTTTTATGAGATACTTACAAACATACTTTAACTAATCTAAATAATACAGAGTTATCTTTTGTCTTCTTCTTTTTTCGGAACAGAATTGTAGCCCTGGCGTTGGCCGCCGGAAAAGAGAGGCCCAGTATGTGTCAAACAGAACTACAGTCACCTCGCCCGCCATCCTCGTGACTGAACAGAGAAGTGATGTGACTGATGGTCTGAGTACCACAAATAGCCCTTCATACTATCAGACTGAAGAAAATCACAAATACAAACGTAAGCAAAAGAGGAAAGCAAATTAAATACCTTAACGTGCACATGTGCTTGGTTTATTTTATCTTATATATCTATTTTGTTGAATTAACAATATTAACCTTGAAATTAAATTTTTGGTTTAATTTTTACAGCAGATCCTCAAGTTTCCTCAGTTCTTAACGGTAAGAGTATCTGTATGAGTGGGCTGGCACAATGAAACATAAAGAGTAGTGCAAAATGTCTTTTCTTTTTATTGACCACTTAGCCTACCTAGTTATTACCGCTGGCGGTGTCTAAAAGAACCGGGCACAGGCAGCAGCTGTTTGTGTGGGAAATGTTTAATTCTGATGAATAACTAAGTATCTGGTAATTCACAGCGTTGCCTTTTTTTTAATAAACTAGCTTATTCCTGATTGCTAGCTCAGCTGCTCTGCATTCTGGTGTTGGATTTCACACCTCTCTAAACCACTCACCACATACACAGTCTTTGTAAAATGTAGTTTGTTGTTAAAGCGCCACCATCTGGTCAACTCCCTGGGGTCAGCAAAGAGGACCATTGGCTCAGTTTGAAATCGATTGGATGAACAGTTCCTGAGATATGCAAAGTACAGACATACGTACAAAAATACATTTCTTGCTTTATTTTTAGATTAACTATAGGTAATTAAAAAACTAAAATATAATGATCATAGTTACAGTTACTTGTAGTATCTCCTCTTGATCACACGAGTCAGTCATGCTAGTGGCTTTGTAGACCGTAGGCAAAGTGATGCTTCATCAGCATGGTAACCACATCCATGATGGTAATATGCTTGCTATGGCAGCGCTCCACTAGTTTCCAATCACTTAAAACCACCAATGTCAACCTCATGGTGGTGCGAGAGGAATAGTCGGGGGACCATTGAGATTCTCTGGGCACCATGAATGTCTGTTCAAAATTTCAGGGCAATCCATCCAATAGTTGTTGATATCGCAGTCTGGACCAAAGAGGTGGGCTGACAGACCTCCCCATGCTGGTAGCATGGCTAAAATGTCATTCAATTTCAAATCCCAACAATCTTACTCTGATTATTAGAGTCTACCCTGAATGTGATGTATCACACTTACAATGTGTATACCTATATGAGGTCTGTAGACTAGTTTTATATAAATGTCTTAGATGGACTACTTAACAGACATAGACACATGTAGCAGGATATCATGAAAAGTCTTGATGAGTCTTCCTTTCTCACACAGGTACATCATCCCGCGGCATGAGCAGCTGCAGCATCCCTGTGGTGGCTGTAATTGTCTGCAATGTCATCTTAACTATGTTTTTCTCCACCTGAAAACCAAAAAGAAACAATCATATATCCTAAGGGAGAGAGAGAGAGAGAGAGAGAGAGAGAGAGAGAGAGAGAGAGAGAGAGAGAGAGAGAGAGAAAAGGTAGAGTCTCTTCACTTCTCTCTGAAACTCTCTTTATCATCTACAATGTCCACTGTGTTGTCAGTACTATCATACTGTAGTGTAATACGGTAGAAAATGAGATGTTTAGCTTCTCTATTTCACAAACACAACCAGGTGGTCAGCAGTTATCTATACTTACAATTTGCAAGAGTGCTTCACCAAAGTACCAAAAAAAAAAAAAAAAACAACATATTTTCTCACTTATCCACCGGTGGTACTTGGCCATGTGGATAGCTTTTGTTTTATTTGCCAGGTTTTAAGACATCTGTCACTGACATTTCCATTTGATATAACAGTTCTTTATGTAATCTTGGTCAATAGTGTCTTTATAACATAACACCAAGGATTAATGTGGAGATGGGGCCACAGAATTAGTAAAATAATATTTGATTATAAATAAATGTTGGTTTTAATTATTACAGAATCTAATGAATAATAACACCCAAATAGTGTACTTTTAAAACATGTTCCTAGAAGGTATATTTAATTGGTACCAATTACCTGCCTAATGAATAATTAATTCCCTTTTTCCAACTGGTCTGACACTGTAACTTTGAAAAAAAAAAAGTCATGCTACCTGGTTTGTGAGGTTAAATACTAACATTAGACAATTATAAACGTGCTGAAGTTAAGCAGACGTTTACCATGTTCACCATCTTGATGGCGATCCATCTGATAGTTAAGACATTTTTTCAAGAGAATCATGAATGTTTCTAGTCTACAAAGTTTTGTGTCAATTGATCAGGTAGATGTTGATTTAAATTTTGACATGGAGCATCAACTTTCCATTCAAAACCAGCATGTTATTCAGACATTTGTAGGTTAATTTCTACTCTAACACTGACATTTATCAGAATATGGGATACAAAAAAACAAAAAATAAACAATTGTGAAAGTTGTTCTGCATTTATTTTTTTTAATCCCACTTGTGGTTAACATACTTAAGTGCAGTTCATCTCATGTACTCATCACAATACTGTCAAAATGTTAGTCTGAGAAACAAGGTCTTCAGAGTGAATAAGTGAATAAAAGATTGTTTCAGATAGTTTGAGGTGACATAAGATAGATACAGTATATACTTTTAGGATACGTTTCTTAAAGGTCCACTGCAATGAAAAATACATTGTCTTGATATTTCTTAACAAAGGACATGTCAAAGTTAAGTTAATCTACAGATCACTAGACAAAAGCTTTAAGGTAGTGGTTCTCAAATTGTTGTATGGGCCCCCTGGTGGGGCATAAAGCCAGTGCATGGGCTGAATGATGATTTATGCAGGGAAAATAAACAAACAAGAGTTAGCTGATGCTATCATGCTGACCTTTATTTTGATAAAATTCAACTTTTTTATTATTTGCTTACCTGATCATTGGTAATGATTGATAAAAAATCTGGTAGGGTTGACATTGTCTTGGCTTCTGAATGGGGGCATGCCAGAAACAGTTTAAGAATCACTGCTTTAAAGTACTGGGATGGAAAAAAATAATAAATACTAAAGAAAATGTTATGTATGATCTGATTCTGTGCAGAAATGTTATTTTTTTCCGTTTACCATAAACTTCTATTATTGTGGACATTTGAATAACATTCTTTGAGAAACTTCAATAAATAAACATCAATACAATGCAAAGCACATTTTTGGTTACCACTACTTGCCATCACTTTTCTTAATGTGGATGTTGGTTTACATCTTAATCATCTCATGAGATATTTAGAGAGTTGTTGTACAGTGGGGGTAACTAACAAATTTAGAATACAACTGGTGGACCTTAGCCATACTGTATATAGTGTTAGAGGATATAAATCTAACAGCTGCTGTCCCAGACTTGCCTGTGTTTTTTGGTGTTTTGTTACATTTTTTTTTTTAAGTATATTTTTTGGGCTTTTATTGCCTTTATTATAGTTGACAGCTGAAGACAGACAGGAAAGTGGGGCAGAGAGTGGGGATGACACGCAGCAAAGGGCCACAGGTCAGATTCAAACCCTGGGCCGCTGCAGCAAGGACTCAGTACATGGGTCACCAGCTCTACCCACTGAGCTAACCGGGCACCCATGTGAGTTGGTTTTTAAATGTTTTTATTGGCCATTTAGTGTAATCGCTGCATGGTTTCATGATTACATTTCCTTGCGTGCCTCAGTGCTGCAAACACATGTACCTGCAGGTGTCTTAAATTTCTTCTTTACAGCCTGAATAAGAGCCCACAGTTGTGCCAGTTACTGGATTTATACAAAATTCACTCTCCAGGGGAGTTTCCAGGGGTGTTTCAATAGTATCATTTCACCTCTTCCTCGAGCACCTGTGGACTTTGAGGAAGATGTTGACAGAAATGTTCACAACGCCACCCTGCTTTGTTAGGTGGCATAACATGCTGCTGTAATTTATATCAATGCACTTTACTGTGGTTTTACCTCTCAAAAATACACTGTCTTTGGAGTATGACAATTTGGTATACTTTTACTTATTTAAAAGCAGTTTTGGCAGAATTCAGCATTCTTAACGGGAGTACGTCCTCCACCCATTCATTCGGGGTGGCCTTTATGCGCTCCCATAGGGCCACCTCATAGGGAGTTGAGTCCATCCAGTCCACCACTGCCCCATAACTTCTGCCTACAGGGAGACATATGGACAAATACAAGCATTAAAAACATGCAGTGGTGTAAAGTAACAATGCAACTAATTTAACTCATGTCCACTGCATTTCAGAGTGAAATAATGAACTTTTTAGCAGCAGCATACATTCATTTCACCACTGCAGTTACTAGTTAATTTAAGAATTCACATGGAAAACATAATAGGATAATCTTCTAAATGCATCACATTATTAAAGAATAAACCAGTGGTTCCAAACCATTTTGGCTTGGGACCCCTTAGAAAAAAGCAGCGTTTACTTGGGGCCTTTTGTCACATTTCAGATGTCTATAAGTTCATAGCAGTTCCATCAAAGTAATATTTCCCCTAAAAAACTTCTCACATGGTTTCATTTAAATAACTGTTTGAAGCCCAAAGTGGTCAAATTATCCAATATTTCACAAACAAGCAGAGATCAGAGAAAAGCACAGCGCCAGCTCAACCAGGCGAGCTACCAATTCTTCCTTTCATTTAGGACTTTCTCTCAATTTTTACTATCATACCTCTGTATGATATTCAGCTGTTTATATGGAAGTGAGCGGTGGGAATGCACAAACATAGCGCTGCATGAACTCTTCCCACATACTTTCATCTAGTAACATTATTTAAACAATTCATGGCCAGTTTTACGATGACGTATTGGCATGTTCAGTAAAAATCTACGTGATAAGACTTTTGCTTTTTGAGATATGATTGTCTGTATAAGGGGTGCCATGGCCAGGGTGTTTACAGCCGGGGAACACCCGCACAGGTGTCTGGTATTTGGCTGATTAGACTTCTCAGGACTACAGGTCAGTTTTCTTGGATGACACAGACATTTATGATCTCATTCACTATCGGGGCTATACAGGGCTTTTGCCAGCATTTGGTAGTTTAGTGGACTTCATCCAACAGTGGAATATATAAAGAAATGTACAACTGATGGTTATTAACCAAGACCTACCATCATGTATCCAAACAGATACATTTAGGAATCGACAGAATGGTATTTTGAGAGTTAAAATCTCTAAATTCTGATGATTTGCTTTTTTTTTTGTCTTTTGTGATATTAACCTGAATATCTTGGGGTTTTGGACTGTTGTTCTGACAAATCAAGCAATTTAAAGATGTCATCTTGAGCTTTAGTGAATTGTTATGGCAATTTTTTAACTCTTTTTTTTAAACTATTTGCTGACCAAACAATAAATCGAAAAAAATAACAGCCAGATTAATCGACAATGAAAATTATTTGAAACCTGAAAACTGTACACCATTTTGATTTTGTCATCTGGCAGACAATACTGTCCTCTAAATAGAAATCTCTCTTTCTATATATATACTATGTAAGTGTATATACTGTAGTAGTGAATATTGAATAAGTGAACAGTTTGGTAGCTCAGTGGTTACCGCTTTTACCTCACAATGAGATGACCCTGGTTTAAAGCCCCTCTTCAGATTTTTAGCCACCTCTGCTCTTTCTCAGTGAGTTGCTTTCATATCGCAGCAATAACGCCACAGTTTATATATAAATCAACGCTTGATTTGTTAGAGCTTGTGTATTCTTAAGTAGGATGTACCTGTTCCAGCTCCAAGCCTCAGGCCCCCTAGCAAGTTGCTGGCTAGCCTGTCTCTGTCCCAGACAGTGAGCTCCACACAGGCTTCTGCTAGATCAGCCTCTCTGATGCCATCGTACACCATCGTGTGGTTAAACGCTGGGTCTACTGTCCTCCGCAGCACGCGTGTCTTCTGGCGACTTTTCCTGCTTGTGTCTGGCAGCACAAAGCTTGGGATGAAGAGGGAAAGGAAACATGTTGACTCATACAGCGGAAAACTTCAATTAAATATGCCGTAAAGGAATTTTTTTGACATTTTGGGAAATACACTTTCTTGCTGAGAATTAGATGGGAAGATCGACACCTCTCTCATATCAGCCTGTTCAATATGGAGCTAATGTTACAGCCAGGAATGGGTTAGCTTAGCTTAGCATAAGGACTTAAAACAAGAGGAAAACAGCTAGTCGAGCTCTGTCCAAAGGGTTATTATAGTTTTGTATTTTTCATTAGTTTTTAATTTTCATTTTGTTTTAAATTTAAATTTTATTTTAAATTTTTGTTTTCAATTAAGTTATTTTCAGTTTGTTTTAGTTTTTTCTATTATAATTAATACTGGGGGCATTTGTCAGAAGCAAGATTCAAGAAGTTCAGTCTCAATATGCACCAATGCTTTCTCATGCTTGTTGTGTTGACAAATTTGATTAAATTGTCATAGACAAATGCTGAATCCACATGGGTTCAGGCGATTAATAGCAGAACGGGAAAAACAAAACCTGCATTACGATATATGTTGCTATTGTTTACAAAGAATATAATAAATATATTAAATTAAATGATTTTGCGTATTTTATGTAATTTATTAATTATTAGGGTCTTGTTGTCCAGACCTATCGTCCCGTTCTCATCCAGTAACATGACATCCGGTTGGCCGTCCACTGTTACAGGGAGTGGATACACCAGGAGGCCAAGAAATAATGTAGCACCTGTCCCCCTGTAGAAACCTAAATTGTTGTTTTTAGGCTACTGTTTTTGTACATATTAAACAGGTTAATTAGTGTTAACGTGTTAATTAGAGAATTTGTTAATTAGTGCTGATAGGGGATTCACATTTGAATTGTTTCCAGTGTACAGACGTTAAGAATGGTATCAATCTTCTCATTTAACTCTCAGTAAGAAAGCAACTGAGACTATTGCCCAACATGCAGAACAGTTTCTTGAACTAAAATGGATGTTTTGTGCATACCACTTTACATATGGGTCAATGGTGGCCCTGATTAGAGGCAGGTTCTTGCATTCCTTTACCCAAATGTGAATCTCTCCAGTGTTTGAAGCCTCCTTAGCTAATCCTTTGAAGAAGAAATGACAAAATATACAAAATATTTAAAGAACCATATCTAGCCTGTACAATGGGTGGGATTTTGGATAACTAAAATTGACATAAAAAACAAGGCTTGTTTTTATAAAATAGAATAAAACCGTGTGCCGACCTTCGCTGTGGATGATCTGTGGCAGGAAACGTACGGCTAGTCTCATCTCTCCTCGACCATTTGATGGTGCTAGAGTGGGTATAGTCTGAAACGTTTGACAGAGTATACATTACAAAAACAGTAGATCCAAAATCCCTAATGAAATTCCTTTGTACACAGGTTATACAATAACTACAGTGCATGTGATACAACTAGCTCAAATAGACTTTTGGGAAATGAGCAGGCTGACCACATTCTTAGATAACCCGCTGTTATTTGATGAGGAAACAACTGCTGTGGATAAAGCAGCCTTGTGTGTGTGTTTTTCTTCTTACCCTTGCTTTCAGGGCTAAGTAGTTCATCTGGGTGTGGTCAAAATCCCACTTGGAAAGATCCACGTCTACCTCGCCCAGGAAACTGTTCCTGCCAAAGGTGTCGTGATGCCAAACGGAGAGAATGAGTGTCTGGGTTCTGAGGTACTCCATGCGAACACGATACTGTAAGGACGGGGAAGAGCAAGCAGCTTTTGTTTGTTGATTGTCATGCTCGCCAAGTATTACGCAGTACAGCGTGGGAAAGTGTGTATGTTTAGTTCTACTGGCTTTATTATATGTGGATTCTTACCCTGAGGATCTCGTTGAAAGTTGGATTTAGCGTCTTCTTTTTTACAGATGTTTTCCTCTTTCCAAGATTAGCTTTGTCAGGAACCAAGTAGCTTTTGACGTACCTTAAAAAGTAAAAAAAACAGCAACTTCAGTATATAATACCATATGATCTGTGGCTACAGTTATTGACCTTTCTGATTCACAGAAACAACTGGTAAACTAAAATAACTAACATGTCAAGAATGACTTCCACCATGAGCATTTTTTACATTGTATACTTTTTGTAAGATGTAACCCTAGACATATTCAGTTCTGCTGTTTCCATCACCTATTTTTTCTTTAAATGACACTCATAATTGAAATTTATAATTGAAATTAATATAATAAATTAATGTATATGTTTGCTTGACCGCACCAAACTGTGAATTCCACTAGAGTCAAAAATGAATCTGGCAGCTAGTGCTTGTGGGACAAAAAAACTAAATAACCAAGTTGTTAGTTCACCAAAATGGATCAATTTATTGAACAGTTAGTAGGATTCAGTCACCGCCAGCTACATCCAGGATATGACTTAAAACCAACTAGAGTGTATGTAAACAAGCTATTTCTCTTTCAGTGTTAATTTCAGATAGTCATTCGTCTTACTTAGCAGCCAATGAACACTGCAGACAGTATAGAAATGTTTATCCTCGATTATTATGATAATAATTGAGTACTCACGGGTCTGAGCGGCCCCTCTTTGGGTCGACCGCAGCCAAATCTCGACACTCAGCCACAAAGATGTGAAACTCTCTGAGCCTCTGAATGTAGTTGATGGAGAACTGGATGTTTCCCTGAACCTCCACATTCCCAAAGTCCCCGCTGTACATGGTCATCACACTTCCACTCAGCTAGGACACACAAACAAGTATAGGCAAGCATTTTATATCATCGGTCATAACTGTTATCATTATATAATGTGTTTTATCTTAAAAATAAGTGGCTTGTATTTTATGAAAATCTAATGTATTACCTAGAGATAGAGGCCAGGGACAGAGCTACCACTTTAAAGGTCCAGTGTGTAACATTTAGGAGGATCTATTGGCATTAATGGAATATATTATTCACCTGAACAAATTTTTTTTTTCATGTTTCAAGCATTTTCGTTACCTTAGAATGAGCTGTTTTTATCTACAGAGGGAGCGGGTCCTCATCTAGGGTGTCTGCCATGTTGAACCACCATGTTTCTACAGTAGCTCAGAAGGGACAAACCAAACACTGGCTCTTGCTAGGGCCTTTTGCATTTTGCCACCATAGTTTCTCATGCATGCTTGGAGGGTAAGCGGTATTTAGTCGGTTGATGCCATTAAATCCTACGCACTGATCCTTTAAAGGGGAACTCCGCTGATTTTACACACACAAGTCTGTTTACAGTCTTGTGGGGTGCTACTAGGTAGCAGATAGTTGGATAAAGCCACTATAAAGCTTTTTGTGGCTCCAGCAAGTGTGGCGCATAGTTAAATTAAAATAATCTGGGGATGTTTAGTTAGACAGAAGTGAGCTTACCAGCATGCAGCTCGGGGCTATGTTAGCCACTACCAGCATAACATGCCTGAATATAGACTAAACTGTTGGGGGTAGAGTTGCATTGTGTGTAATGTAGGTTCCAGATTTTTTGGAAGAATGCAAAATGGACGACATCTCTGCATCAAATTAGATTTAGTTTTGTGAGTCTGACAGTGTTATAGTAGAACGATGCTAAATTAGTGGTACTCTTTTAATGATTGTTCTGGACCTTACTTGAAAAGCGTTTGTTTAAACTCTTAGACACAACATGTATTGTGTTGACTGAAACAGCGATACCACTCCTAATGAAAAAACAAATTATGGGTTAATGTCACAATTTAAGCTTAAAAGCCAAAGAGCAGCACAATTTAAGAGAGCAGTGTTTGAATGTGAAGCATGTGTAAGTATTTCCTGCGGCTGTGTGTGAACATACAGAAGACACAGACGCCATGCCAGAGGAGCTGGTGAGGTTAGTCAAAGAGTTGCCCATCATTAGTCTTCCTCGGTCGTAACTGTCCTCGCAGTTGGAGTCAGTGTCTCTGCCAACGTCCTGAAACACAGACAGCAGCCGCAGAAAGCTCTGTGCACAAGGATGCAGAGCAGGCTTTAACCTACTGGACAAAAAGATGCAGGCGTGGTTTTACCTCCTTCTGTAAGAACGAAGGAACTGATTTGCTCATCTTCTTCAGGTGCTCCGGATCCGAAAATAAGGATGAGGAGGGTGATGGGATGGATGAAGCTAAACAGTGGTGGATTGGGAAGCAGAGGATACAAAATCTTGACTCATTTGCCACTGTGCTTGCAACAATATCCATAATGAAAATGAACATGCAATTTTTACCATCACTGATTCGTCTCATGTCGGCAGTCGGGTCTTGCCTTCTTTCTTGTCCTGTGAAAAATAAATAAATAAATAAATCACAGTGATCCAAAATAATCTGCACATATGGACAATTTGACCTGGAAGTTGAGAGCATGCTCACGTGGTGACAAGGATGCTGTGATGTCCTCCATACTTTTAGCCAGATTTTTAGGCCGTGCTTCTGCTCGCCTCAATGCTTTCCTTACAGGGTTTTGGCCCTCATCGTCATTCTCCCCTACAAAAAAAAAAAAAAAAAACTCTAATCAACTTTACTTTTTGTTTGTTGGTTTACAGTCGGGACAGGCTCAGATTAGTAAGTAAACAGTGATACTGAACACACATTATGTTAAACAGAGGACAGAGTCTTTGTTTTAACTTCTAACTGCTCTTAAAATATAATAATGAGTTGGTATTTTGAGACAATATAAGGTGATCTGAAGATTATTTTACTTAAGCAAGTCTATTGCTCACAGAACTCATGTGTCTATAGTTATAATTAGGGTTGTAACTATCTAACCATTATTTATATAACTGATTAGCGTGATTCTTTCCCAATTTATCAATTCATTGTTTGGTCTGTAAAACCTGTGAGAAACCTGTGAACATGTCCATCATAATATCCCAGAGCACAATGTGACATCTTTAAATGTCTTATTTTGTCCAACCCACAGTCTGAACCCCAAATATATTTAATTTACTATATTACATTATGTTAGACGAAGGAAACAGCAAATCCTGAGAGCCTGGGTGCAGCAAATGTTTGGCAGGCTATCTTGCTGAAAAAGGGTCTTATAATTGATAACAAAATTTCAGCCCAACTTATAATCAATGAAAATCTAAATATTTGTGGTAATAATGCAGATAATTAATGGTACTTTTGTAATATATAGTGTATGCTATTAGATATGAGTCTGCACATGCTTGAGTTTGATTTGATTGTTTTGGTATAGATTTATTAGCAAAATAGGATGATTTGCCACTGACCTGTCTACATTTGCAAACATAAAATGCTGTGTGCAATAACCAAACAAGAGTACATCAAATGTGCAGTTCAGTACAACTCAGTATGTACTCTCTGTAGTGTGTTTGAGGCATTTATAGGTATAGCTGCTGCTTCAAAGCTATTAAAACTTCTGTGAAAGAAAGCTGACATTAGTAACTGCTGTTACAGTTGTAGGTTGGTGAAATGTGTTTTTATCTGTGTGGTGTCAGTTAGGTTAAAGCAATGTATCTTGCCCAGCCCACAAATTAAACATGGGCAGCTGACCGCAGGTGCACACTGTGTTTACAGAGATTTGCTTCTGCCAACACAGATAACCCGACACAGACATGATATCAAGGATACTGCTGGACACAACCCACAGTGATAATAATGAGTTTGCAAACAGCAGGAGTTACTACTTCAAATGATTGTCCATACATTGTAAGACTCATGTATATATGAAATTTATAAAACAAAACATTTCTGTTAGATGCTAGCTGTAGGAGATCTACATATTCATTCATTATAAACTTTTACTTGACTAAACTTTACTCACTGCGTTTGTTTTTATTCTTTATTATTATCCAAACTTGATTTTATTCTATACCTGTGTTGTAACACTCAGCATCTTAATGCCTCACAGTAAATAATACAATTTCAAGTAATAACCTTTAATTATTTAATTTGTTTACTGTTAGTCTTCATGACTGAAAGATTAGACAATACATTTTGTGTAAAGGAGTGTCTGGATGTGTTCTGAATGTTTTTCAGTTTTTTTATGTTACTTTGGCTACTTTTTAGTGTATTTTATCTGGATTATTTAAAATCTATATAATAAAACTTGAACTGAATATATTAAAAAAGCACTATGTACAATTTATTTATCATTACTATTATTAAAAATACTAAATACAGACTTATTTTTAAGGTCAAGAATAAACTTCCATGTCCAAAAAAAGGGATGTTTACCTTACTTGTTTTGAGCAGAAGAGGCTTTCAGACATTAAGACAGGACTATGACTTGATAGGGTGAAAATTGCAGTTTCAAGAATAGCTTATATTGGCTGGTTTAGGTAGCAGGCATGCTGACATTTATTTTTAGATTCTTATACTTTGACTTACAGTGAAAACAGCTTTAGTTACATGTATTACACTGTAAAAAACTGAAGTTGGTGCTCACGGTTTGAACTATTCCTCGAGTTGGACCAGGTTTCTGATGTGCTGCTGACAGATGACTCCTGGCCTGTGTCTGAACTGCTGTAGTTTGCCCACAGGGGCCGCTGACTCGTCTTGTTTCCCTTCCTGCCGTAACGGTCGTCTGAGCTCACTGGAGTGCTGGCTCTCACCGGCCCATCCAGGTCAAATTCATACCCAGACTTGCCCTCTGATCCCTCGTCCTTAAGAGCTGGGACGAAGGAGGTGTGGACGCTGGTGTCATCTGTCATGCCCAGGTAATGGCGGTAGTCTCTGGGAACACATGCCCGTGCACGTGGAGTCAGAGTCTCACTGTCCTCTGATGCTCTTCTCAACATGGTGCCCTTTTCAGTGTTCTGCCTCTGCTTCCTGCTCTGGGAGTGAACAGGGCTTACATCCATTTTGAGCTGGCTTTGATCTTTTTCATCAGGAACAGTCAGAGCGAACATGCTAGTGGCCCGACGCATTGAATTTCCACGACTGCTTGAATTGCTAAAGCTGTCTTTTCTGGTCTTAGGAGAGCGAGTCTCTTTTCCTGAATTGCTTTGTGGTTTCGTGGATTTTTCCTCTCTATTAGAATCTTTTGAGCTCCTTTTGGACTCTCTCTGCTGCTCAGCTGTTGTATAATTCCACAGGTTGTTTTTGCAGTCACTCGCTCCTCGTGACCTCGTATCATGAGACGACTTTGATCGATTCTGAGAAGGCGGAGATGATTTCATGACAGCTGGTCTTGTTTTCTCACGGTAAATCTCAGGGTCACCACACTTTAACTCCTGAGATGTAAGCTGGGCACTTGTTGAGTCTTTCCTTTTGGGGCTTTTGGGTTTGTCAAAGGAAAATGATCCCTTGGTATCTGACGTGGCCTCGTCCCAGAACTCACGCAGAGTGTTAAATTGTGTTCGGCTTGTGCCCAGACTAGGGGACGACTTTTCTATCCTCTGATTCAACGGTAGGACAGTAAAATTTTGATTATTTCCATCAGCGTCTTCCTCATCACTGCCTGAAAAATTTCCAATTGACCTCAAGTCGTACTCCGACTTTGTAAATCTTTTATTCAGTTTTGCCTGATTCGCACCACGAGCGACTTTACCATCCCCAAGAGCTTTCGGTTTCCCGGTGTAAAACATGGGCTTGTTCCTCTCCTGCTCCCAGAAAGATTTGAGCTGCTTTATCCTCTCTGCAGTACTTTCTTGATGTGGTAAACCTTGTCTGTTTGAGTGAGGACTGCTGATTTTGTCTTTATTAGACGTATCTTCCTTTCGTTTTGGAGACATGCTGGATTGCATGCTCTTATCTTCACTGTCCCTCCTCTTAACATCATCGCTTGAACTTCTACGCATTGGTGGTTTGTTTTGGGTGATCTGTATATCATTCCCACCTTGCTTGTCCATATATGGGCTGTTTCTGGACAAATAGAGCTTCTCAGAGTCTGGACTGTCCCTTGTTTGGAGATCTATATCCAGTTGAGACGCAGGAATAGTCTTGGACAGTTCGTCTTGCAGTGGCGTTTCATTAGATTGGGAAATACTGTCAGGCTGTGGATTTGGTTTGACTAAGGAGATGGTCTCTGAGTCTGGACTCAGTCTGGACTGGATGGCTGCCCTTAGCTGTGGACTGAGTCTAGTTACACTTAAAATCTCAGTGTCTGAATCTCTTCTGTCAGCTACTTGGGGTCTGTCTACTAACTTTAAATAATCTGAGTTGTATGCTGGGTCGTTATTGTTCCTTTGTCTGTCTACATCCTTGTTATTATTATAATGGACATTGTCTCCTATATCTTTTTGTGGACTGATTACCAGCTGTTCTCTTTCATCTCCATGATTTGAGGCGTACTTATCATAACTCCCCTTCCCATTGTATATTCCAGGCACAGAGGACATATCAGACACGGGGGGTTTGTTCACTTTCTCCTCGTCTTTCTCTGCTGTGAGGCGAGCAGGTTTTTGTGCTTTGTCGTTGGCCGTGATTGAGTTGCTGATAAGTATTTTAGGACCCATATTGCTTTTCTCCCAGAACGACTTCAGATGAGCGATTTGCGGTGGTTGGCTTTCATTATTATCTACAAATTCCTGTGACCGCATTCTTTCTCTGGTATCTTTCGTCACCTCTTCTTGTGTTTTTGTTAGTTCCTTGTTGCCTATTCTGTCCTTTGTTCTTAACTCTTTACCCTCATTGGACTGTTTTTGTAAGTGACTTCTCTTCATTTCAAGACTTTCTTTCTTCCTCTCACTTATAACATCCCCAGCTTCTTTTCTTAATGAATCTTCACCTCTTAATTTGCTGATTTCTACATGTTTGTGAGGGCTCTTTGTGGCCTCTGGACCATCATCTGTATTTAACCATTCACTGCTGTCTGTACTACGGTTGAACCAGTCCAGCACCTTCACAATGGAGTCTTCATCACCAGTGGGACTCGTAGTCTGGGTGGATAATTTAAATCCATGTTTCTGATTTGATTTCTTGTTAGACTTATCAATGAAGATGAGGTCATAAGATACTGGAGGATCTGGATCTGAAAAGAAAGGTATGAAAAGAGAATTTAATCCTGTCAAAATGAAGTCAGAAAGTGATTGCTGTCTGTCCTGCAGAAGGTTCGCCTTATCTCCCAGGAGCCCACTTTTTTATTAACCAGACTGTAGCCACTGTGCTAGCAGCACTGTGAGGCATGTTAACATGCTCTCACTGACAATGCTGTCAGCTGATGTTGCTGATGAAGCGCATATACTGTTTGTACCATGTTCAGTGTCTTAGTTTAGTGTGTTAGCTAATCAGCAATAAACACAAAGTACAGCTAAGGCTGATGGGGAATGCAATCAGTTTTGCTGGTTTTGCTGGTACTTTAGTCATAAAACAAAGTATTGCACAAACTGAATTTCGACCTGATGATGGTCCCAGAAGAAAATAAGGGATCTCCAAACTTATTACAAGTAGCAAATTTCATAGCACTAAATCCAACAGTTGTTGAGACATTTCACTCAAAACCATAAATATAAAATTAACCCTGGGTCTCCAGCACTAAAACAGCCTCCAGCAAGCTCCAAATGGCTAGTACAAACTTTTAACTGAGTTATTTCTTGTTACTGAACTCACCCCCAGTGCTTTGAGGCAAACTCAGCTCATCCTGTCTCATTGCTGTTCCCGCAATGCTGCTGTTTTCTCTGTCTGAATCCTGAATGCTGCCGGTGTGCAGGATGTTCACTTCTGCACGTTCCCTGTGTGTCTCATCCTCTTGTTCATCGTTCTTTTTTGGGATTTCTCTGTCAGTGGACGCATCACTCCTGGTGTACGTGGCTGGTCTGTAATTGTGTAGGTGGTGAGTTGCAGAGGAAAGATGAGAGGGCTTAATAAAAGTTTTTAGGTGAGAGTTGTTCACTGACCTGTCTCTTGTTAGAGAAGGTGGGTTTCTTTCTCTCTCCAGACTGGAATTAGACGAAACCTGAGACACATCACAGAGTGGCTGCGGGGAGTTTTCATCTAGAGATTTGGATGGTTGAGCAGACTGAGATACTTGATCAGAAATTACACTTTTCTGAGGCATTTCGTCTTGGCCCTTCGGGTAGGACTGGTTAGAGCTCCCACTGGACCCTCGTTGGAGGCTCGGTCTTGGGGCAGGAACAACGGCCGCTGACCCTACCTGAGCATCTAACCCCAGGCCATTGCTGTCCGACTGAGTGGATGTACGTCTTGAGAGAAATGTCCTCTTCTTCGGCACTGGCCTGAACCCTACAGATGAGCCCTCTGAAGTAATGGAGCCCCCTGAAGTCTGACAAGCGTCTCCCGCTGGGTGGCTCTTGAGCGGAGATATGGGCTCTGAGGGAAACACAGAAGAAAGGATCATGTAGTAAATGTCTATCTCACAGCCTCATAAATGTATTCGTCTGTTTCGAATTACAATCCAAACCTGTTTCAGACGACTCCTGGTCCCGACTGGTTGACATGTCATTATTATTTTCAGGTGGCTCAACAACAATGAGGGAAGCACGGTTGAAAGGGTTGTGCCTTGGCTTGAAGGAAAATGTCAAGAATTAATGTTTTACATTACAATAACCTCAATGTGCCTGTAACAAGATTTCCCCAATGAAAGGAAGAAATGTACCGAAAAAGACTGATCTGTTCCGTAACACATATGCTTACCGTTCTTGGAGAGCGGACCGCTGAATTCAGATTCTCTTTTTCTGCATCACTGAGGGAAAAAACAATTTAAACATTAAGTACGGAAAGGTGAGTTCAAATATAAGCACTGTAAAGCATCAGACGAGGTTACACAGAGGCATTTTAACATGATGTGCCTGCTGGAAAACATCTCAGGAGCAAGTATGCTGTAATGTGCATGACTGGGGCTTGCTGACTCGTAAATAACGCTGATATCAAAGAGGATAATAACTCTCCAACTGAACCTACCACAATATCAAAGGAATTCCAAACGTATGAGATAAACTCACAATATCTGGTATTTTGTGGGTCAATATGACTCATATTACAGGAGAGCAAATCTTTAATTTTTGATTAATGAATGATAAGACGCAATATAACACAGGAACTACCCAGGAACATAGCATTATCAGATGACAGAGTTTAAGTAATTACATTCTTGAGTCTTTTGTATGTTTAGGAAATTTGTCATTGTCTCCACAAAGTACAGAAGCTTGGCCAAATCAAATATTGACTTAACTTGTCAAAGAAGGGTGTTACATTTTGTCTTGTTTGCCAAGATTTATTCTGATAGACAAAACATCTTCCTCTGGAGTTCAACTGGACTTAATAACACACTGTGAAAGTATTCAGGATGTCGTAATAATCCAGTTACTTAAAAAAATGATAGAAAAATATCAACATAGATAAGCTACTGGTATTCCACCTCAGAACAACAGGAGAGTAACATCCTGATCCTTCTCGAAATAACACAAACAGTTATTTCTCATTTAGAGCAATTCTTCTGGGAGCTCTAACTGAACACTTTGCTAAACAGTCGGCCTGTTTTTTCTGTAACACGTCAGACTACATCCTGCAGTGTGGTGAGCTGTTAGCTGCTGCTCGGCTATAAAACTGACATGTTCCTAGTTAGAACCACCTATGTTTACACAAGCTGAGTCACAAGACACCACACACACGGCACACACACACTGCACTCACACAGACACACACACACACACACACACACACACACACACACACACACACACACACACACACACACACACACACTAATAGAGTGAGAAAGAAACAAAGTATTTTAACTTAATTTAGCTATTTAATGTAATCTGAATTGGCACTTTGTAGTAGCATCTCAGCCTTTACTGTGAGATTTAAGAGTGGAAACACCCATACAAGACTCGATTAAGAGTGCTGAGATATGTGTTGGACAAATCAATGAAGTGTCTACATGAAGACATCACTCGCCACCTTTTGAAATTTCAAAACCTTGTTAACAGTTTAAGGTTTCCACACCATTTCACACCACCTCAGACCACACTGAACAAAGTCAGCACTGCGGCAGGCTGAGCACGAACATGAAGAAGTTACAGACCAGGGGTCTCAAACTCAAATTGGTTTGGGGTCACCACAGGTATTGTTGTCTCATAGGACTTTTAGTTGCATGTAAAGGGGAATTTAAAATAGAGAAAAGTCTATTTGATATTTTTGACATCATGTTGCGACTGGAGGGAGAGGGATGGAGGGCTGGAAATGGCTTGTAGGTCTGGAGTTGAGACTCCTGTTATAGAAAGACAGGGAATAAGAAAGGGCTGTGTACTTGATATCCTGCGGCTGTAGTGCTTCCAAACATCTGGCAGGTTTTGGCGGAGCGACGATATCTGAACCTCGACTGCTGGGTGCCTTGGATCTTTCAATTCTAAGAGACCCGTCTGCAGCAGAGAAGTGGAAAAGAGCTGAATTTACAAAAGTTTATCAATACACAGTTTTAAAATGCTGTATTAGATTTTCGGGCCCCATTTATCTGAGATTCAGTCACACCATAAGCAAGCCTAAGAGGTAAAAATCTAAATGTTATATTGGTATATTTCACCTGTTATCCAGAAGCCACAGTAATAGTTTTGTGATCCCACAGTTGTCAACTATCTGCTCCGAAGGATAAAATGTTAGCCTGGGGCCAAATCATAAACTTCAAATCCAATTTTTTCACCAACTGTGCCACTTTACTCTGATCTTCTTCTTCGCTGTAACATATAAGTCCACTGTGCAGGCATCAGCAGTGGCCATCTGTGAAAAGCTCAGATTTAAACTTTGGTTTCACCCCAGGCAAACATTGTATCCTCCGTGGCAGACAGTAGACATCTGAGAGAGCATAGAAATACCTCTGAAGATGCAACCTGCTGCTAGATAACAGGTAAAGTTTCTGACAGAATCACAGAGTAATGTACAGGCTGAAAACACATGCTTTAAAACAAGCCCTTTGTCAACAGTTAAGAATGAACACACCTAATACAGGTTTCTTCTGTTTCATGGAGGCCAGAATGATCTCAGACCCGTGGATCTTGTCCATGTGCCTGCGAGACTTGGCCTCGTAAAACCACTCTCCGGTCAGGTACTTCCGCTTGATCTCCGTCTTTGAGCCACTGTTCAGTATTTTCTCCAGTTTGCTGGAGGGGAAACACAAAAGAGTCGTGTGCAAACGCTTAAACTGAGAGGTTTCCCTGTCTTTTTACGCAATATGTTAATTCTAGCTGAAGTTATTTAAAAAAACACACAGGACACCGTACCTCTCCAGCCAAGTGGCTACGGAGACACAAAAAGGACCCTCTCTTGTGAATGAACAAATACAAGACGGCGCTTCCTTTAAGCTACACTGAATCGAGAATCTGACACCGTTTGAATTGAGTTTGAGCAGCACTAATCTCTAAATATGAGGTGAAATATAAAGCCAGCGGTGGACAAAGAAGAAACAGACCACAGCAGGGTGTTTTGAAGTTGTTTACGCCACATGCGTGAATGAATTTCTGCTCAACTGGAGATTTTAGATAAGGGTTGGAAAATAGTAAATGCATTAAAAATAAAATGCACAGGATCTTTCCTATTGGTACTCAGATCCTGTGAATCTTCCCCCGTTGTTTTATTTTATTCATTTGAACTTCTGCTGCTTATTTTTATCTTTACTGTTTTTAATCTCCTGAGGCAACTCATCTTAAGAAACTAACCATGCTATCATATTATTATGACATATATTATCATAACGTTAATGAATCTATTCTTTATCATGCCATCTATCCCTCTTCTGCTTTTCATTGCCTCACTATCAGCTTTATATAACAGCTGCACATGATCTATCGAAAAGGAAGGAATTCGGAAAACATTTCCATCAAGTTCAAATTAAATCAAATGCATTAAAATGACCACTCCAGCTCATCTTTCCCCCTTGACGGAGAACGACGGCGGTCATGTGAAAAAAGGGTAGCACATTATTACAGGCTGTTGGCTTAATCCTTTTACACTAGACTGGTTGAGACACAGCGAGCATTCAGCCTCCCGCTGATGAAAAACCTGGCCGGCCAATTCCATTAAACTCACAATGAAAAGCACATTGTTTCGTGACATTCTCGACTCTTGAAAATCAAAATGAAACACATCTCCAAAGAGGTTTTTTTTCTCTTCTTAGTTTACATGCATGGTTGCATTTGGATTGAAGTTTTCTACTTCTGTTTCGGTACACTGGAGAGGTCAGAAAAGATACGAGGCCCTTTTGTTTGCCTTAACAAGCCTTTGATATACACTGTGAGGAATGTCTGACCCCTCCCAGAGGCTAAACAGAGAGCTTAGAAATGACTGATTTCTAAGTTGTCTTTAATTCCAAGTTGAACGGAGGCAGTATCGGGATTCACTGTGGTCATCACACTCTTCACAGGTTAGGTGTCCCTCATCACTGAGGCCTTTAATGGTTTCTATTCCTGTCGGTCAGAAGCAGCATGATCCTTGGCTGTAATCTAATTCCACATCTCACATTGAGGCATCTCCGCAATGGAGGCGACGTCTGTATCCGTCCAAGCTGTTATTGTGTTATTCTATTATGGCCAGACATGTATCATTTTGACCGGTATGTTTACTGTCCAACAAAGGCCTCTTCTCACAAAACAGGCATTGGAAGGACTTATTAAATCAATAAAATGACATTAGCTGAATAACATGACATTGGCTAAATGTCACAGAAGACGTTTCTGCTCATGTAAAACAATCCGGGAAGGATTCTGTTGGACATCTGAAACATTCACCACCTTAAATAAAAATCATTGTTCCAGGATGTCACATTTCTTTTGACTGCCATACATGGGAGACGCATATTTCTACCTGATTCTCTCTTCCTCGGCCTTCTTCAGTTCAGCGTCCCTCCTCAGCACCGTCATTATCACCCCCTGCTCCTCCTCCGTCAGGTGGCTCAGGTCAATCATGGTTCCTCCTCCTTCTTCTCTCAGCAGGCAGGTGTGGAAACACTCAGCAGCAGCTAACGTCCACCAGCTGGGTCTGTTGCTGTCAGACAAATCATGTCATTGTCACATCCTTAAAAAAAAGGCTTTTGCTCACTGTTTCCGTACAGTTTAACAACCTTGTTTATGCCAAGGAGAGGTGGTTCCCAATCTCTTTGTCTTGTGATCCCTTACAAAAGAAGCAGTGTCTAGTTGAAGTCTTTTGACACATTTCAGATGTCTACGTTTTTAGCAGTTCTCCTCAAAACTTCTCACATGGTTTCATTTAAATAAATATAAATGATCAAATATTTCACAAACAAGCCAAGATTCGAATCAAAACAGATTTGTTTAGCAGAGCCTGGCCCTGGTTCTGCACCATAAAATAATAACAAGTATCTTGAGGGTTTGCATGTTTATTTAGGTTTATTTGTTGACACAAATGTTAAGACAGCTCTACAGACTCTACAAAGTCAAAACACCTTGACTTTGTAATACAGTCACTGACAGTAATAGATTGGCCACTCATACATGTCTTTGTACAGCTGCAGATTCTGAGATAAAGGTGAAAACGTTTCTGAAAATGTTTCCTCCAAGTTGTTTTTCTAGTTTTAGCAAACTAAATTTAACTTGACTTATTTGATGACACTGTTTCCCGGAGTTAAATCTGGCTTTAGAGGGAGCACACATACAGTTTTTACTAAATCTCTGCCTTAAATTACAGAGGGATAGTCAGTTTTGTATTTGCAGTTGTGAGTGATTTTTGTCTGCATGAAACTCTAGCAATGGATTGTTAAAAGTAAAAAGGATAGAAACAGTCATGTGACTGACAGTGGTGTAAAGCATATTCACTCAAGTGCTGCACATAAGTACAATTTTGAGCTACTTGTGCTTCCATTTTCTGCTAATATCTGCTGCTATACTATAGTATTTGATAACCTGGGTTACCTTGCAGCTTCAGAGTATTACAAAATATATCAACAAATAAATGATGATGTAATATTATTGAAATAAGTATAACTGTATAAAGATCACTAAAGCTCCACCTATACCTGCTTATAACATTGCAATGCATCAATCATTATAATCCAATAACATAATGTATATTATTCTGAAATTGCCCCCTCTGCATAATGAGTACTTTTACTTTAAATACATTTTAATGCTGATACTGTTGTACTTTTACTTCAGTAATATACACATATATATAAACGTTATAATGCAAGCAAACGTTAATAAAAGTGACAAAAGTTTACCTTTAATCATTCAGAGTACCACTTCCTTCCTTCATATCGCTCAACGTGTCTTTAGGCATCATTTACTTTCTGACAACAAGTATTAGACATGTCACCTACCTTAAAGGACACCTGCAGACTTCTCATAAACTGCTCTTATAACTCCCATCCTGATGTGTCCGTTTGAAAAAAACAAAACAAGGTGAAAGAGTAAAAGTTTTCACCTCCTCCACAGGGCTGCTCCTGCTCCTGCTGCTGGATGCGCTGGACTTGTGGGACAGGAGCTGAGGAGAGGAGGGCGGACTCAGTCTTCAGATGGGGAGGACCCGACGTGTGCAGCGAGAGGAAACAGCAGTCAGCCAGCTGAGCACATTACCGCTTCCTTTCAGGCTGCTGCAGCAGCTTATGATTTGAAATGAAAGGTATGCCTTTATTTTATTTATTTTTAAATCAAACTGATGTGTGTCATCTGTGCTGTAATGGCAGGTCGTGTCCAGCAGGTGTCCTCAGTTTCCACAGGTTGATATCTTCAGTGTGTTTGACAAAAGGGTGTAACATCCCCAGGCCAGGAGAACATGGGGTATTTCCAACAGTAATTACACGTTCACAGTGCAAACAATACGTGTGGAAGCCTTAAAGTTGCCTGAAGTACTGCAGTATTATCTCTGAGATCCTGATGTGACTCCAGGGTACATCCATTAACACCTGGTTTGTTGTTGATCTCCTCAGTAAGACCAGAATGTGACAGAAGCTGGGAAAATACATTGTGGGATATTTAAGGGGACCAATTTATAACTTATGAGTTCAAAAGAACTCTGGGTTACTTAATCAGTGCAACAGGAATATGTTTTTCTTTCTTAATCTCATTTGTGACCATTCAACGAGGCTCGGTTACCAAACTGAACAAAAGCGGACGACTGTCCTGGGAGGCCGGGCTTCTGAGGCCCTCAAAAACCTGTTGTAATTTGATTACTTGTGTAACACAATAAGATCCTCGAGGTGGGTCCTGCTTTATCACTCCATTGGGTCTCTGTCTTGAAGACGGGCCCTGTATATACCTTACATGGTGCATATTCTTTACCCAATTGCCACAACAAACCAGGGATCACGTATGCCCCTGCAGTAATTTACAGCATGAACAGACACAGCCGCTACAGTAGATTCATAAAATGACAAAAAGTGTGCCTCATGCAGACAGCATTTATTTTATTTTAGTATTTGTCAAGAGCTGCTTGGGTGCAAGTACTATATGTTTTATAAGCTTACACTAATCCTCCTATTCGACCAGACAGGCAGCACAAGTCTAAACCTTCCGAGTTCAGAAACAACAGATTTTACATTCAGCTTTAATAAAGGAATAAAAATGCTGTACAATAGTTTGTGGAAGCTGCTCTTTATTTGTAAAAGAAAGAAAAGACTTCAGTCATTGTCTGCTACACGTTCTAATTACATAAAGAAAATATCTGCGGAGACAAACGCAGAGAATATCCTGAATCAAACTTAGGTAGAGTCAAATTTGATTGAATTGCTTTCATATTTCATACATCTTTCACTTTTGAACAGTCAGTTTTTATATACACAGAGCACCGATCAACAGTGCTCCTCCACTCCACCCTGGTCCTCTGGATCTTTTATACAATTAATTTACATCAAATCTGTGACTCTTTTCCCAATTAGCGTAGCGACGGCTAACCAGCAAGCAGACACACTCCGTCCTCTCAAATCCCAACCCCACCTCCCGCCCTCGACCCACCCGCCCCCACCACCCTGACTCCCACTGAGGAACTGTAGTGTGGAAAGATGTGTGCAACATGAAGACAACTCTTTCACATTCAGAGTAAAGGCAGCCTTGAATACGGTCAGTGAGTCAATGGCATGCCAAGCTTAAAGCAAATGGAGCCCACCACCCAGTGCGACGCTTCAGATTCGTGGATGAAGTGTTTTTTTCAACTAGACAGGAAACCGATCCATTGCAAAAAACCCTAGGCACAGAATCGACTATATACTGTTAACTGACTCATACTCTAACCCCTGCACTTAAGTACAACAGAGATTGTGAAATCTTTCATCTAGTAAAAAATGTTCTTAACACAAAACTCGTAGAATATTTAGTGCTCTATCATTCCGCTTAATAGGTGTAATTTATATAATAGCTATTTTTAACTCTACCTCTCAATGATAGTCCTTGTTTAATGCTGAAGCACTCCCACAGGTGTTCAATGTACTGTAGATTTTACATAATTTTTTTCCCCAATCTTAAACCAATAATCATAAATAAATACAAACAACACACAAGGAATGTCTACTGTAAACACGGTAAAAAAGACAAAAACTAAACAGGTGTAAACGCCATTAGCATCACTACTTAGTGACAGTTAAATAACTGTAGGGAATGGATGACTGGATGATCGGATCAAGAAAGGGAAGGACCGCTCTCCTTTTTTTTTCCTTCCACCCCCTCCCCGCTGAACATCAAGCCTTTACATCCAACCACAGTAAGTCCAAATACATAACATCAAGTTTCTCAGCACCCATAACTATCTTTACAGATTACACTGTAAAATGGATAAGGAATCCTCTTTAAGGGGGTTTTAGACAGCAGCATCACTCGACGTCTCGGACAAGTTACAGAATAATGGGTGTGAGCTATCGCCAAACGTCATTTGGACATGGTTACCATGGTTTCTGACAGTCGCTGCACCATTGTGTTCTTGACATGTCTGTATTTGGGGGTGTGTGAATGTTTCTCTGAAGAGTTAGACTGCAACGAGGACAAAGCTTTGCTGCTAAGTGCTTCATCTTCCGAGAGACACTTTTCTTCAAATTACATGAACTGCATCTGCAAGAAAGGCAACAGACAATGTTAGTGAAGGGCTAAAATGTGAATAATTAATAGGTTAAATGACTGTTTGCTAAACCCTTCCCGAGGACAATGTTGTTCTGGCCTTAGCAACCATAAGCACACACGGCAAGTCTGTCAAGCTTCACATTTATGCTGAGGTGGTGTTAACGTTGGGTGTAGGTTTGGTCTGCAGGTTGTGTTATTTTTAGCAAAAACCACAAGCACAAGGGCAAAGGGGGTAAAGGATTAAACTGTGTGTGTATTTGCTTTAAAGCTGCAATAGTCTGTCTGGCTAGCTAGCTTACTAACACCAGTATAAACCTAGCACTACTTCCATAGCCAAGGACATCAACTGACTACATTATTTTATTGAATTACAGGAGGGAAATGCCCGTTCTATCAATCTTGGATGCTAACAGGATTTAGTTTACTGTTAGCAGCTCTGTCCTGCTCTACTGAGTTTACACTGCAGGAAATGCTGCCAACATTAGCGTTAGCAATAAACGCCTTTTCTTAATTAAAAAGGGAAAATACAAACAGCTAAGCAACCAAACTGGGTTGTGTTAAAATAAGTAATTTTCTATATGAGAGCACAACCCTGCAATAAAAGAACAAAGTGGTTACTTTTTACATGGATCATTAATTGGGGAGAGCGATGACTTCTCTATGACTTTAAAATGAGTCAGCTGAAAACATTCATTCAGGAGACAGCACTTTATCCTAGAGTTAACCTTAGCTAAATTAGCTAGCTAGCCACAGCTGATCAAATCTGCATGAGTTTGATTTTGAAACTGAATTTCAATGGCAAAACTGATAGTGTTATCATTGTAAACTGTCTATGTGCTGTGTGAGAAAGGAACAGGAGTGGCAACAGTAACTTATGGGGACAGAGCCTAGCCAACAGTCAGTTAATTGGTCAACAATGGCTACAAGGTTCAGAGAAAACAGGTTTGAGCAATATGTGATGACAGTGGAAGAACAAAGGCTACGTCAAAGACACAGTAAATATGTCAAAACAAGCAAGAAAGCAACAAAGGTCAAGACAAAATAGGATCAATGAGAAAAATACATGTAGCATCTAATCAGGAGTATGCAAAGATAAAAAAGAAACAGAAGGGTATTAGCACTGGGTATGGGATGCATGCAGATGCACCCGCAAGCAAAGAGCATGCTGTACCTAAAGAGATGCTCTACAAGAAATCCTTGAGAGAGAGGTGTGCAAACGGGTCCTGTCCAGGGGCTCGGAGAGGACTCTGGCTGGAAGGACTAGAGGCTGCGGAGGGCTATTTCAGGAAGAAATACAGGAAGTAGGAGGACCAAAGGAGAAGTCAGAGTCAGTACAGACTGAAGGAGGGATGAGATTAGTTTGGAGAAGCCGTGATGTATGACAGAAGGGTTAATAAAAAGGAGTTGTTGGGGGGAAAACAGGGAGTCAAAACAAGGGACATGATTCACAGTTTTTTTTTTTTGTCCCTTTCAGCTCGAGAGAGTGAAGGGTCCATTGTTAAAACTGTCATCATCTTCAGCTGTATTCACACGCTTACACAGTGACTAATTATGGTACACGTCACAGCACAATGGATACACCTATTTACTCAACCTGATGACTGCGCAAATAGATACTGACTTCATTATGCATCAGCTTGGTGGAGAAGTCAGACTCCCGTGCACCCACCTGAGCACTAGACACAGAGCCAAAAGGGTTGGGTGGCCTCATCACAGGCTGGGAGTACATCATGGTGGGTGGATTCATCATCCCCATAGAGCCCATTGGTGGAGGCTGCAGCGTGTTGCACAGAGACGACAAAACTTCTTTCAATAATAGTGAACTTTCATTCATTTGCTTTGTAAATTAAAAGCCGCTACATGTAGAATTCTAAACATACTGCCTTTAAATCAACAGAATTTATCTAGGAGATGTTACACAAGTCAATATGCTGGTTAATCACATGTTAAATCACGTGTTACGAAATTGGTTCTAAATAGCAAATAACAAAGACAAGCCTGTGCCTGCCAGTGAAATTAAATATTTATAAGGTCAGAAACTATTGAGAATTCTCCTCCCTTCATTTTATTTATAAAACAAGACAAAAGCAAAACAACAGCTCACTTGACCCAGTTTAAGTGCAGTTCATTAATTCTCTAAATAACAATAAGCAGGTACCTGACATGAACTGTTTTAGTAAGATTCATAATGTAACATCCGACAATTTTTACTTTAAAAGGACTGCACAGAAGCTTGCCTGCTACTAGATCTACACATTGCAATTATACTGACCATGCCATATCCCATCATGCCTGTGGGTGTGGTGGCAGGGAAGGCCATGATTGACGGTGGCTGAAGAGACACAAACAGGCCAGTACATGTCTGAGTTTATAACACAAATGACCTCAAAAACAACAACATTGTACAATTGCATCGACCGGTCATTTGGCAGTAAAATAAGACAGGAAATATAGCCGGAGCAGAAATCATGAGCACTACAGTGAAAAGTCTGTGTGTGTCACCATGGAGACGGGGTTCCA